GCCGCCTGCCGTCGGGCAGGGCCGCAGCTGGTGTGCTGCTCCCGGCCGCGCCCGCTTCCCGCGCTTTCGGGCCTGCCCCGGGACCTGCGGGCTGGGACGGAGCAGCGGAGGGGAAGAAACAGACCGGGCGCAGCCGGTGGATGCCCGTGGTGTAGCCTGCTTGCAAAGTCCGGTCGCTGGACCTTGGCGGTCGATGGAAAACCCCCGACCAGCCCGGCTGAGGCTCTAACAGGGCTTTTTTCTCTTAAAAAAGCGCGGGTACGTGCCGGCCACCGTTGATACCTGAAGATTTTGCTTCGATGCCAATACTGGAGCTTAAAGTCGAGAAAAAAACACTCACCTGAAAATCGCTAATGCTTTGAATCCGTAGGTCAGGCAAAGTTTTAAAAAAGGCCAAAACAACCAGAGATAAGCCACTTTTTTTTGCAAGTAAGAGAGGAAAAGCTCATCCAAAAGGGCAAATTTGTTTGAATATTGAGAATCCAGATGCCCTTTCTCAACACAGGCCGTGCAGATGTGGCAGTTCGGTAAGGGCTTGGTCATACTGGAGAGAGAGAGAGATCCCCATAAAATTCTCACGTGTGAGCTGGTCGTGCTTTGAAAACGCTACCTGGGACAGCCTCAGTGCACTCACTTGTTAAAATGCTCCCTACCACCCACTGAGAATGTTTAAAACTGGGTTTTTATGGTTTGTAGGCATGATGCTCAATGGCTGATTTTACCTGTTTCCCTGTCACACTGAGCATGACCAAAAGTGGTGCAAAAGCACCTATGCGATGGCTCCTGTGTTGCGAATGCTCACGGAGGGTGCCTCCTGTTCCACGACAGCCTTTCTATACACTGAGCAAACCAGTACAGACGGGAAAAGCGTGTTCCGTGTGAAGGGTAACTTCGTAACTAACAATGTATTTGAATATTGGCAGGACAAGGAGCAATGGTTTCAAACTGAAAGAGGGCAGATTCAGACTGGATATAAGGAAGACATTTTTTACGAGGGTGGTGAAACACTGACACAGGCTGCCCAGAGAGGTGGCAGAAGCCCCATCCCTGGAAACATTCAAGGAGAGGTTGGATGGGGGCTCTGAGCAACCTGATCTAGTTGAGGATGTCCCTGCTTACTGTGGGGGGTTGGACTAGATGGACTTTAAAGGTCCCTTCCAACCCAAACCATTCTGTGATTCTATGAATATTATCCCTAAAAATCTGGAGAAATCTGACTCTCAGGCCTAGCTCCTGGCAGGCTGAGAAGTCTCACAATTATCCTGGAGAAGCAGTTTATAATGGCGTATTTCTATCCTGTATTTATTACATTTGTACTGTTTGCTCCCCAAAGTACCTCGATTCCATGCCAAATATGACACGAAATTTTACATTTGTTGCACGTCACCTTCTCCCCAGGCTCTCCCCAGCGGTTTACCAAGCAGCAAGCATGGGGGAAGCCGCGCATGGAGGTCAGTGGCGCGCGCAAGGTTCTAATGAACTGCTAGTAGAGGGAGGGGGACACAGCAGCAGGGCCACTGATGGCCAGTCACCACAAACCGGCATGGCCAGGCTTCCTCTGGCAAAACGGACTGTGCTTCTTAACCCGATTTAGACAAGCGGGAAGCTACTACATTTTAGTTATACCTTCAGGAATTAACTGATTTTTTTAAAACAAACTATTTGCTTTTACTATTTTCCTTCAGGTCTCTGACAGATCTACAACAAGAAAGAACAACAACTGTTTAGGGGATGAATTAAATTTATGGAACAAACAACCTCAAAAAACCATTCTTGCCCTCCCATTTTAATCCTTTTACAGTATTCATTACGGCAAAATTAGATTAAAAATTTATATACTTTAAAGTTGTCTCTGCTGACCATTTAAATGCATCTGTCACGTTTTAGCGACTATAATGTTCTACCTTTTCTTGGAAACTTGTAGAAAGTAAAAAATTCTAATTTAATCTTGTTTTACCTAAACAGTTAGAGAACTTGCAGGGAAACGTCCGTCGGATGTGAACACTGAACTCCCTTGTGACTCAGGATGCTCCATAAATAGAACATGTACCGATGCTGTATTTCAGCAGATGCAAATCTCTGTTTTTCATTATGCCACGTCTAAGAGTCATGCCAAGACCTTTAATTTTTTTGCAGGACTTCGCTACTTGCCCTTTTAAAGGAGAAATCAAGAACCCCTGCTCGTGCTGTCTTTAATTCCAGATTAAATACAGGTACTGACTAAATAAAAAGAGCAAGCAGTTAATTCTAGGTGGCTAGAGAAGTTGAGGGATTTTTAGTCAGGCTGTTTGAAACCACTTTTCTTTCCAATATCTTATTTTAATCAGAACAACTTCTGCAGAAAGGTCACCTGAAAAGATTGAAGTACTCCACCCTCTTCAATTAGCATCTTGCTCACAAGAAAATTTGTTCTGAACTTTCCAGCAGATTCCTTCAACAAAACCAGGGAAGATAATGACACTTCTGAAGAAAGAAACCCTTCAGACTTGAGAAAAAAGTAACGATCATGAGGAGAGAAACACCCACCTGGAATATTAAAAGAATGTTTGCAGGCCATATTTAGAGCAGGTTAATCTTTATGCTACTGGAAACAATAGCACACTTCTGCATATCACTGCATATTTCCAAATGTGCAACTCTTTTAATCTGCTAAAAGCCAAGTAGTGTTTTTCCACCGGTACGAACATATTAAGTGTTTCCTTCTTTGAAAATGACAATTGCAATAGATAATCCAATGAAACGCAGCAGCCTGGGCCTCACTTTTAAACTACTGGGACGCCCGTGTTGCCCCAGGACAGAGCCACCGCACCATTCCCGCGTGCCGAGGCACTGGCAGCGATCTAACCAATCTAACATGGCTCAACATCCACCCGTTTTCCTCCTTCTCAGCTGGGCAGAGACAACCCACCCAGTTGTTACAAGCATCTTGGCCACAACCGTCTCTTCACTCTGACTTCACTGTTCTGACACCTGACGAATGCGTTACATCCCTTTTTTCCTCTGAACTGAAAGATCACCTGCCAGCTCAGACTCGTGTGTGAATGGGAGGCCCGAGTACTTGTTAAAGCCTTTGGAAGGATTTTCTTCTATGAAGAAGACACAGGAGTACCAACACGTACTTTGATAGTTTGTTTTCATTAGTATAATTACAATACATTCTGGACAGTTACAAAATCTGGGGAATCATGTTTTCTCCATAAATTTCCATTGCAAACTTCAAACATTTGGGTGCCTTTCCATTACTTCTGCACGCTTTTCCTATGGTCTTAGTAAGGACGTCCAGTACAGCAACCCTTTTGGTTCTTGTTTCAGCAGCTTTCTGTTCTGCTTTGTGCCTCAGGCTTTGATGTCCACCTGGAATGCTGGTTTAGCTGCTTAGTTAAAAGCCTGCAGCTAGTCCCTCTCACATTACACTAATCAAATAGAGGACATTTCCAGTGGGACAGTTAGAAAAGGTATATATGCAAAATGGTTTCTGGGTCATTTAGAGCAATAGCACTTAGCGTATCTCAAGTCAAATCCTGCTCTAGATCAGAAGGAACTCCAATGAAGTCAGTCAAGTATTTAAACTTTCAAATTAGGAGGAGAATTTGGCTCCACATAAACTGATGGCGTCGTTCAAAGACAGCAGTTTTCTCAGACAAAAAATACTGCCCTTATTACGAGCCACCCGGCATCCTCAAATACAAGAAACATTCTCCTGCATAGCACAGTTAAAATGTAAAAACATCGGCTACTGAATCTAAAAACATTTTCAACACGCTTGCGATAAACTTTAAGTACACTGTACTTAGCTGCTTCAAATCACCTCTTTGCATCAGCAGGTGTGGCTACATAGAGCTTCCACGTACAGGCCACTGAGTTACGTGATCGGGTGTGCAGGAGCCGAACGGTACGTCTGCTCCTTTCTAGGAAGTCAGTCCAGCAACATTCTGGTCCAGAAAAATGTATACCCTACCTCTGCTGCCCCGGGACAAGTGATATGGCTCTGACCCCGGGCGCACACTGCAAACTAGCGAAGCATTTAAATAGTTGGCAAAAGTGTTGAAAGGCACATAGCTTGTCCTTAGCAATATTTCCCTGTTCCACTTGCGGTGCCCATTGAGGAATTAGTGTTGGGACCTAGCTTGAAAGAAAAAAAATAGTAAGAAAATGGAAGCCTGCCAGGAAAAAAATTAGGTTGCGGGGTTTTTTTGGTTGGTTTTTTTTGTTGGTTTTTTTTTAGCTTTAAGATTTTACTATTGCATGTTTTCCTCTACCTTTCCAGTGAAAATTATGGAAGCTATGGATGCATGTTAACCATACGTATGGACATACTACTACTGGAATACCAAACGGTAGAGCCGCGGTAAACTGTTGCAAGTACTAAAAGCAATGCTTGTAATGGTCTGTACAGCATCTGCAAATATTTACTATGCAAAGAGATTAGTGTAGCTCTTGGTTTTCTCTGCATTGCTTAGAAATGCTAAAAAACTACAACAGCTAACTGCTACTCTACACCAGATCAATATACCCCAACAGATATTTACGAATATATGCCATTATATTTAAAAATACCAAGTTCCTCTAAGCTGGTAAACCTAGAAGATTTTACATAGATTTAGAGATAAAATATTAAAAACTCTTGTTTCAACTCCACACACTTGACATCTGAATAGGAGTGATGTAATCATACTATTTATTCCATCAGTGAGACAAAATGTTGTATGGAACTAAGTTTCTGAGATTTTAAATAGAAAGTCATTTAACTCGTATATACACAAAGTGTTCTTTCCACAGATATTTACATGGCAAATATGTTAAGAGGAGAACCACTATGACTAAGTCTCTACAAGTATAGCATCCTTTCTGAGCTATTCTCTCTGCTGAAAGAATTCACAGAAGCTTTGAAGTAAAACCTAGACAATTAGTGTTACCTATATTTCACAGTAGGTAAAGAAGCCATTAAATGATATTTCAGCATAAGGTTTCTGGAAACAGCTACACAGTAGAGTTTTACATCCACCCCTCTTTTCCAGCATTCATGGTGAAACTAAATCTCTTCTTAATTTGCAAGAGAGATAACGGCATACATAAGGATGTACGTGTGTAATTGTAGTTCATCCTCCTCGATAGAGGCTGGTCAGACGTTCTAGTTCTTTGCAGTTGTCCATGGGCATGGAGTCTGCTTTCTTTCGGAGACGGTCATCTCGATATACTTTTGCTGCATAAAGTAAGTCTGTTTCTTGATGGAAAAAAAGAGAAAAAAAATTTCAGGTTAAAAACCGGAATACTTTGCACATGATACGTTCCTCCTCCTCAGAGCTGTATAAAACACCTCAGGTATAATCCTTGCTCCTTGCTCTTTTTTCCTTCTGCCTGTTCTAACTACCCACAGACACCACCTAAACAGCACTGCTACAGCTTCCCTTTGCTGGATCTTCACAAGCAGTTCATCTTTTTTGGGTAGGGATTTTTGAGGTAACAGCCTTCCAGCACCCTCGTATTTCATACAGGAGGTACCTGATTAAAAAAACCCACCAACCAACCAACCAACCAAAAATCCCGTACTAGTTCTGTCAGACCTCATTAAACAATACAAATACAGGCCACACTCAGCGATCTTGCATATTATTGACAGCTCTAGCATCTTGTCTGTGCCCAAAAACCCCTTCTGAATGTTAAGCCCATTGCTTCAACTGATGCTGCTTCAGGCTGCCAGTGTTCAGAGGTATTAACAAAAGAGCTCTCTGTATTATACTGGTGTTCAATAGCTTGACATTGCTAAGCATTTTAATTCTATACAATCTTTTTCATCCCTTCAACTCAAAATGGATTAGGAAGGCACTCTTAAATTTCAATCAACGCTGAAAGATTTTAACTGGCCAGGAGATCCAATGCACAACAGCTATTTTAAATCCATAAAACCACAAAATCAGCTGTGTCTATAAGTAGAAAAAAATCTATTAGGGGCCGCTTACTCAAAACCGATTTGGGGAGTTTTCACAACCTGATAAATTGCAAATAGCAAACAACATGACAGCCACCACCTTCAGGTTACTTTTCTTCTTTATACTAGGGTCAGATGTTCCTGGAGTCATCACATTTTCCCCAGTAAATATGTACATACAGAGGCGTGGGCCTCTTTGCATTGTCCAGCACTCTGTTCATGCTTAAAAAAGTAAGCATGTCAAGAATAAATGCTGAA